AGACGGCAGAAGTACAAGGCCTTTTCTGTTAGTAGAAGGACTGCTTCTTCAAATGTAGCAGTCTTGACCTGGTTAACAGCAGTGGGTACGCTCAACGTCCAGCCATGTACCAAGTCTTCGTCGCGATCCTCAATCACGATGCCAGCAGAACGTTCAATGGCCTGCTGCCGCACTTTGCGTACATCGATAAAGTAATCTGAGCTCTTCATATCGGCTTCGAATTCCGCGAAGATGGTATCGGTAGCGCGACCGAGAAGGTAGTCGATGACTGCCTGAGCAAAGTAGTCGTTCACGATGTTGTTGTAATATCTCGTGAGTGTCAGTCCGAAATCGGTAAGCGCACCAGTTATCTGCCGTTTCCGGGTACGCGTGAAGTCGCCCTTTAGCGCAGCAGTGCCAGCGTACTGCCGAGATATGGCATCGCCATTGTCAGCCCAGAGGGTGTTGAACCACGATGTACTGGGGTCATTCTGGAGATCGATGCTGTAACTGCCCATTGACAGTTGTGCTTCAAGAGCGGTCCTGGCGCACGCAGATTGAACAACGTTGGTGCGGTCCAGACAGTCCATGCAGTTTGTACGCAAGACGCCTGACTGCTTCTGCTGTACTTGATTTCCTAAGATCTCCACCCATCCAGAAGATTTCATGAAGGGTTCGATTGAATCCATCAACTTCGAGACGTTTTCAAAGCGCATACCGCGGCACACGTTGTGGAAGTCGAACCATTCGAAACCCAGCTGCTTGCCTTTCCCGTCCATCCCGCCATTCTCATTGAGCGACTTTGCATGCTGTTCATAAAGCTCACCAATCTTCGCCTCAGTACCGTGTTTGTCTATGAGCGAATCACAGTATATATCGCCATAGCGTGAAGACAGATCGGCAAAATGCTTCTTGAAAGCGCGAGCATTAGTCTCAAACGATCCCCAAGTAGAGACTTGTGGTTTAAGGCTATAGGGCGATTGAGAGAAGAACAGGGGAATTGAGCCTCGAATCTGTGTGAAGGAGAAAATCTTGTCTCGCGTCGTGCTAAAAGCCGGGTTGGATAGGATCTGTTCCGTCTCGACGCTATTCGCGGTACAGCCCTCGTCATCTGTGCCCCGTCGCAGGTAACGAAGTCCAGCTCGCTTGATAGAACGTCGCGAGATGAGTGTCAACAGGAAGTCTTTGCCGTCCACAAGAGAGGCATCGGGATCAGATGCTTCGCCACTGGCTTCCGTATTGAACTGTGAGTCCTCTTTCTGCTTTTCATGCCAGGACTGGAGCTGGATGTCATCTGGAGTGGCACTCGGGTCGACCACAAGACTGTTCGACTGGCCATCAGCTGTCTTGATCGTGAAAGGTCGTTGACCAACGAAGCCTTGCATTACGGGGAGCACAAAAGCATGCTGGCCCGCGTCAATGAAAGGTGCGATGATGTGCTGATTCCAGAAGAACTAGATACTGGTGAGCAATCGTCCGTTACATGGACAAGGTGTAAACTGACCAAAGGATCGAATTGTTTAAACAAGGCAACACTAGAACTTGCTTGCTGCTGGCCAATACCGTGTGAGATGTCATAGTCGTATGAGAAGAAGAAGTTGCCTGATGAAAAGTACATTTTGGTGGTCTGCAGAATCTTTGGTAAGAGTGCTACAGTGGCCGCGTCCTTCTCGCCGCCCAGGGCCTTGGGTATGTCTTCTGGGCTGACTGGTTCCAAAATGTCCTTGTCATCTGTAGGGATGGCATCCGGCTTAGACTCGCTCTTGGGGTGTTCTTCTTCCTTGGGCATCCCCGAGTCAACGTTCTGCGGCGCATTCTTTGCCGCCAGGTTCTCTTCTGAGCTCAGCCCTTGCAGACGCCTGTTGTCAGCACTCCAACCCTTGCGCGAGAACCACTTGTCAGCGAATCTGCCATATACACCTTTTCTTTGTATAACGTCCTCGGCCACACTCGTCTTGCGCTGCGCACTGCCTTTTTGTCCGGTGACCGAATCCTTGACCTCGCTTGGTGTGGACGATGAGTCCTCTACAAGCGAGTCCGTCACACTGGGCGCGCCATCCTCACTATCGCTATCGCTGTCTTCGTCTTCCAGGCCGGGCGCCCGGTTGCGGCGCTTCAGATGGTCACGCGTGGCTGCGATGGCCTTGTCGGCGTCGGCTTGCGAGGAGAGGGGGATGAGGGCGATATCGGTGATCTTGTAGATGGGCTTGCCGCGTATGAGCGCCACCTGTTCGCGATCGGATATGGATATCAGGAAGTACGAAGTAGCCACTTTGAGTAGTCCTTAGAGCAGGGTCAGCCTGTGTCGCAATGCGCCAATGATTGCGCGCGTACCGATGATGCCATGCGCTTCCACAGACACGGGCGCCGTATCTTCTTCGCGCCTGTCTTTCAACAGGGGGCCGACATTGCCCTTGTAGTCGACCTTGATGGCCTGCTGCGTAGCGGGCGGATGGTTGCGGGGCGGGGACGGCTGGAGGATGAGACCATCAACGGCGGCGAAGATGAGCAGCTTGCGAACAAGGGAGGGCATCTTGTCAGCGGCGCTATGCGCGTTCAGGGCTGAGTGACTCGACAAAGTGCGACATCAGGTCGCTTCTAGGCGCGTTGAGACGTCTGGTGGGTTGAGCCGCCATGACGTCGTGTCGCGCCGCGCTAATCTCAAGATTTCTTACCCCACGCGTCCTCTTGTCAACCATCGTGAAATGCTCAATTAGCCCCCTTTTTGTCTTGCGTCATAAGTACTGGCATTGTATCAAAGGAATGTTCGCGACGACAGAAGTGCCAACCAACCATATCTACCCAGACTTCGTCTTAAGCAGTCAGTATTCTTTCAAAAGCCGTGCAAAGTCAGCACGTCCTCGAGTGTTCGAAACGGTCACAAGCACTTCCAACGCCATTGACTAGGCTGCAAAAGAGAAGCCAGTCAAGTGCAAATTATGTTATCACGGCTTTAACCAACATGTAATACACGGCTTTGGTGGGTTTTTGGGGTACTTCTGGCACAGGCTTCGTTCCTCGCTCAGGAAAAGCGGTGCAGGTCAGAATTGGATGCCACAAGTGAACGGGTGAAGGCACACTGGGGTGCACAGCGTCGATACGATCAACACTTGGAAATTGCGTACAGCCTATGAGGAGACCGATCCTGGTATGCTCTGACAGTTCCTACCTGTTCTTTGTGAGTCATGCTATTCAGCGTCACACCTTCTCGTCCACCATGCATGGGATCTGGCTCGGTATTCTAAACGGAAAGCGCCTCTCGGATTTATGCGTTAAGTGCAGCCTGCGATGTAGTCATCCATACACTCAATCCTCACATCTGATCATGCAGCGATTTACTATTCGTGCGTTCGTATATACGATGGACATGAGTAAGTCTTCATACATAGCATGTCTTTGTGGGGCGTTTGCATTACTTCATCAGGCCGTGCGAATCGGAGTTAGACAACTAACTCCGGATCAGGCCGCAGCTCCTTCTCGATCTACGGGGTTTCTGATGTTACAATTGCCTATTTGGTCTATAGCAAGTTCCAGACCGTACTCTATTCGTCGTGGATTACGCCTGGTGGACATCCGTAAGACCCGTTCATGTTGTGCTGAATCGCTGGCAAGATATAAATTCGCCCGCCTTCCACCCCAGCTTGAGTATCACAAAATCCATCTCCTCTACTTCAGTCGAAAATCTGCATGTCATCCGTTACCACAAATTAATCGATTCAAAATAAATATGTCCTCGAACCCAGACAAGGAGGTTGTGCTCGTAACAGGTACCAGCCCTCCGGACGTTTACCAAGCTCGTCATACTGATAGCCTCTGTAGGAGCAACCAACGGTATCGGTCTGGACACCGTCATTTATATTGCCTCTGCATCTCCAAAGTACCATGTCATAATCGGCGCGCGCAACATGTCGAAAGGCGAAACAATCTTGAAAGATGTGCAAGCCAAGGCAGGCATCCAAGGCACACTCTCCTTGGTGCAACTCGACGCCAATGACGACGCTTCTATCAAAGCTGCGGCCAAGAAGATCGAGGAGGACTTCAGCAAGCTTGATGTGCTTATCAACAACGCTGGTGTATGTCCCGAAAGAGACGGCACATGGCCGGACCGGGAGCTGATGCGCACCACGTTCGAAACCAACGTCTTTGGCCCTACCATCCTCACAGAAGCTCTCATTCCCGCAATGAAGCGCTCATCTAATCCGCGCATCATCAACGTGTCCTCTACTATGGGTAGCATCACTTTGATCTCCGATCACAGCTCTCCCTACGCCCAGGTTAAATACCCCGGATATCGCATGACTAAAGCTGCGCTCAACATGTTGACGGCATACCAGTACGTCCAGCTCAAGCCGGATGGCTTCAAGGTCTGGACGTACTGCCCAGGCTATGTGGTGACGGACCTAGGCGACGACAGGGAGCAAAGAAAGGAACAAGGCCTTGAGAGTTCAGAGACGAGTGCGCTAGGGTTGTTGCAGATTGTGCAAGGCGAGAGAGATGCTGATGTAGGAGGGTTTGTCGGCAGATACGGACAGAAGTATGGTTGGTAGTGACTGGTAGCCTCCCGTGCGGTGGTAATTCACAGCACAAATACTACATTGATGATTTCCCAGGAAAATGGGTTTCGCGCATTTTAGAACGCTATGAGATCTTCCGGGGGCCTTCAATGTTGTTGATGGTTAAGGTGATCCTTCCGTTACAGGCGACCTGCCCCGCTTTTGCCCTGGCAGCTCCTGTCACCGCGTCATCGCTTCCTCCAACGAACTACTGCTACGCGTCTTGATTCCATCAGAAGCGCGCACGAACGCGAAGTGACGCACGTGCAAAATAACGATCGTACAGAATCTGTACCTGCTACATTGAGAACTCTCCGAGCCGGTACACTGAACCCACGTGATGCGATTAACCAATCGCGAGACCCGATGAGCGCACGCGACGAGCTAACGCCAACGCGATGCATGGCGGGAACGACTTCAACATCTGAGCTTTAGTGCATGCCGTTGCGCACGAACAGCATGGGTGCGATGGCGTATAAAGGTCGGGCCTTGTTGCTCGCGGTCTTTTTGTTTGCTTTGTGCGTCTTCACCTTGAACGCAGACTTCAATTCAGAAGGAAAGAGCAACATGTTGGGATCATTGGTAAGGATGACTCCTGGTATGCGAGAACGAACGGATGCTAATGGTATCAGGCTTCTGCGAGCGTAATGCTCTTCGCTCGTATGTTGTCTTCTTGCGCGGGGATGTCCAAGCTGACAACACATAGAAAGCGCACTAGCATCCAAGTCTGACATCCGTTTCAACCATATTCAAGTCGTCGGAACGCACAACTCCTACCATCGTGAAGTCTCACTCGCCGAGCGACCAGTCTTTGAGAAATACGTACCGTCCCCAGAGGACTACTACTACTCGCACGCAGAGCTCGACAATCAATTGGAGTACCAGTCCGTGCGCTCTTTCGAGCTCGACTTACATTCGGATGAAAAGGGCGGCCTGTACTATCCCCCTGTCATATGGACGCTATCAAACTTGACAAACGCCACCACTCCTTACAATGGTGACATTCTGAAGAAGCCAGGTATTAAGGTGTTCCACGTCACAGACTTCGACCCAGATTCTGTCTGCCACACGTTCATCGACTGTCTCAAGCAATTAAAGAGTTGGTCAGACGCAAACCCAAGACATGTCCCTATCACCATTGATCTCGAGCTCAAGACCGATGCGCCGGCATGTTCGTTAGGCGGTGTCTGCCCTGGCGAAGCGACAAACTGGACGCTCCCTCGCCTCTTGAATGTCGACGCGGAGATCCTCTCCGTATTCCCTAAGAAGCAACTCATTCGCCCCGATGACGTGCGCAAGAGTGGTCTTACCCTCGAGCAGTCCATCCTGCAACAAGGCTGGCCGAAGCTAAAGGATGTTCGCGGCCGCCTCCTGTTTTTCTTCGATAACGACCCAAAACCCAGTGACCCCAACTCACCTCGCGAGCTCTACAAAACCGGCGCCCCCTCGCTACAAAACCGCACTGTCTTCACCAATGCGCTCGAAGGATCCTCTGATGCTGCATTCATCAAATACAATGAGCCGCGCGGGAATGGCACAGCAGATATCCAGCGTCTTGTCAAGAAGGGCTACTTGATCCGAACACGTGCTGATATACCCATCGATACCATCTTGAACCGCACTACAGAGATGAGGGACTTAGCTTTTGAGAGTGGTGCGCAGATTGTTAGTACCGATTTCCCAGCTTGGGGCATGAGTAGTCGATGGGGTTGGGATTATGTCGCCAGGCTTCCCGGAGGATTGGCTGCGAGATGCAATCCTCTTATCGCACCGGAAGGCTGCAAGGACAAAGACCTGGAGTAGATGATGAGAGAATAGGAATGATTCATATCACGCCGCGATCACATCATGATCTTACTACAACCTGTGACGCAACTTGAAGTGAAAGAACATCGGTCTCTTCCAGCACACATCTCAGTACAATGAAGGATGCGTCACATCGCTTGCGCCCGAGCTTAGCGACAGACGAAGGCTGTGCATAGTAGGTGAAGATGACCGTATAATTGTCTCGGTGAATTCACGACTAGGCAGCGTGGCGAGTTCGAGCAAACACGTGGCCCGTGCGCTCTCTAGCCCGCCCGCTCCTGCCCGTAGTCTTAAGTAGTCTGCCCTCCCTCTCTTCTTCCCTTACTCTCCACCATCTACTGACTCCGATTCTCAACCCGCACCTTTCGCGGAATGCACACGAAGCCCTTTATTGCTCCGCGCTCGCACGCATCATATCAAATTGAACTACACCTACTCTCCTTTTTTCAACATGCGCAACACTTCTGCTTCAGCATCTCGACTGTACAGTAGCAATGCCTGTGGTATGGAGACTTCCCGTACTCAGGTATTGCGACCTGCCGTAGGGTTCCCCAAGCTGTTCTGTTCTGTATCTTGGAACAAGGAGGGGAGCCACCTCATCCTTCCTTCCTCATGCGGCATTTTTCACAAGGTTTTCTTTTCGGTTTCGCGTTCGTGCGGACCTCTTCTACATCTTTCGCTGATTCGGCGGCTACCTACCTTCAACCTTGTATGGCCTTCGGGCTGATCCTCATGGCATCCGAGACAACGCCTTTCACCAACCTAGAGATTGGTGTCCCGCTTGTCCAGTCCCTGCGCCGAAAGCCGTGCTTGGCATGCTGCTCACCGGCCAGTCGACCTCTTGCCGCTGGTTCTGAGGAGCCTATATCAGTACTTTGCTGGGAGTACTGACGAAATTATCAGTACGGATAAAGCCGTACGGCAGTACTGATAAGTCGACCTCCAGTCGGCGCCTCATGTGATAGGAACGGGCGGATACGCGATGAAGTGTATGACCGAGCGTGTCCCCCGTTCCTCGACAAAATTCATTGGTCTCGTTGCAATTCTGCTACATCATCTTTTCGTTTGCTTTTGCGGCTTGCTGCTGGGCTGAAGAAGGGATACGAGGTTTTTTTTTGGGTGCAACCTTGGAGTCAAACTAGACGATAGCAATCCAGATGTCCTTATCCGACAAGAGCGTGATTTTCATTCTATCCTTTCGTGTTTGGGACCACCACTACCAAAGCTTTTCCCGTTACTTACTGCTTCGACTTTGACCTATATATCTTATAATCTGAGGCAGGCCTCCATGATGACCTAGCTTCACAGAGCAATTCTCGTCAATGTCTTGTTCGTGACTTTAGTCCATAGTACGCATCTTTCAAACCACTTCATCTGCTTCTGCGGTTCTCAAAGTCCAAGCTATAAGTAGATGATCACGTCGAGAGCCCGCTCATTCCACGGCCAGTGGCTGGGTGGAGGTGCGGTGGAGGAGTGACTTTCGCCCCTTCACTTTCACCAGTACACGCTCATTCACTGCAAAATGTCGCTTTCCTATCCGGGTCTAGAGCGAGCCGCAACGGGCAATGCGGCAATTCATAGCCCGTCGCAGTCACCCGCGCGTACTCCATTCCAAACACTCCACCCCGCGATACTAATTATCAGCACGCGACGCCCCTCAGAAGCGGAGCTATCTACGTTCCAGCGAGCATGATTTCTGAATCTCCTATACACCTGAATGAGCGCCCTACTGTCGCAGACTCTAGCGAGCATGGCAATGCTCAGCGACTCGAGAAACGGAAGATTCCACATGATCGCGGCCCAGACGAGCCTCCTCCCCCCAAACGCTTGCGCCCGACTCTCGATATAACCCGACTACGATCTCTCAAGAAAGTGTTCTGGGCTCTACCCGAAGAGTTGATGGAGTTGGTCTGCCAATATGTAAGGTCGGGACAAGTCACGTATAAGATCAATCTAACACTTTACAGCTCTCTCAGCACGACTTTTATAACCTCCTACTGCTATCGACTCGATCCGGATACAAAGGTGCGACTCGGAAACTACAGCGCATTTTCGTCAGATATGCTGAGCTGTGTATGTCGAAAAAGAGCGCGCAGTGCCTGAACAACACCTCCTCGCTACTCACGCATCCACATAACTTCCGCGCCATCACCTTCGACATACCTCCACGATATGAATTGTTCATGGCTACCGTGCTCCCGAACTTCAAGCACACCCCGGTCAGGGCGATAATGTTTAGGCCCAACAGCATGGTGGTCGAATCGGTCTTAAACCAGATGCTGTTAACTTATCAGCATCTACCAAAGGCCGAACTTCTCATGATACCAAGTCACGACTTTGGAGACCTGACTCGAATCCAAGGCACGCACGGCTTCATGCGGCGCCTCTGGACATTCATAGATCCACGGAACAAGGACCAGCGCAACTGGATCAGATCTCACAACGCATCGGTCACGCGTCACACACTAATCGGACCACATGTACGGGCGCCCCCAGGAAAGTATCTATCTGGCAATGCACCTCCGCAGATCCGAGAGCTTACCGGTCACTTTGGCATGTGCATCCGACTCATTCGAATTGCACCCAGCACGCGTTTCGATGATCTCAAAGACCGACCGCTCGACTTGATATGCGCCCCATATGCGCCGGCGGATATCGTTCGTGGGATGATCGACAGTAAGCGGCAATACCGCGTCCATTCAGTATCGATCGTCAACGACAACTATAAAGACAACACTTTGATGGACAATGTGCTGGTTCGACTTTTCGAACAAATGCCCAACGGTATCATACTGGAAGAACTTCGAGTGGCCGAAGTCAATCTCCTTCTCAAGACGGGTTACATTCCACAACATGCCTATCTAGTCAACAAGATCGGTCTCTTACGCCTGTACAACTGCCCAGGATTAAGCCAATTCACAAGCGTCGATGCCTTCAGAAACTCTGATCTACACACGTTCATCTACCTATGGGATTACCCAAAGCTGAACCCAGAAGTACGGGATGGAGTCTTTCGCAATGTGACAAGACATTGCAGCAAATTGGAGCACTTCTGCTTCCACGCGCGAAGAGACATCTCGGACGAGCAAGTCAAAACTGCGCTCAGCGCTCCTGATGCCAATGGCCAAACAAAGCCTGTATCGCGAAAAGAGCGAAAGAAGGCAAGACAAAGCGAGGTGTATGGCATCGGGCACCTACTGCGCAAGTTGCCTCCGATTTTGAAGACACTTTCCCTGCGCATTGGAGAGAGGTCAGAAGTTCCTGACCAGGAACTACAACTTCTGGGTCAGTACTTCCCAGATCTAAGACACGTCGGCATTCCTTGCCCAGTGCTCTGGGATGCGATTGAAGTAGGTCACTTGAGTGACGATATGTGGAGAGATGTTGGCGAACAAGCAACAATTCTCTCCACTATTCATGGACTCGAATACCTACATTTGTTTGTCGCAAACCTGGGAACAGAGCCTAGGATGGGCACCAAGGCCATCAGCACGGCACTCCAGCGTGTTGCGTACGAAGTCCTCGCTATCGTCTCAAGTGAGTGCAGAGGACTCAAGTACCTCTCTATCACGGTAAGGGACTTCGTCGAGCACGCTGGAGGGAAGTCGGAGCCTGTGGCTGTGCATCTGAAGGTCAACCGGGAGGACCCAAAGCAGTCGGAGCTTGTGTGGGCGAAGGAGCTGGGAGTCGATATAGAACTGTATGGTGACACAAAGGAGTGTACATATGAGGGCCTTGTGGATACGAAGACGGCGCGGTGGGCGAGGCCAAAGTACTGAAGGTCATGTAAGCGGCAGTTGGATGTTTGTCGTGATAGTTATAACCCTCGTAACGACATGTATTCGCCAAGAAGATGTATGCCATCACAGTGGAGCCATCGTAATGACACGTATCCGTTAGCTCAGCACGGAAATTTTAATCGACACGTCTTCCATTAATTCTAGCCACCCCACCCTTACCATCACAGCTTCGTCCATCACTTACATATCCTCAGCGCACTTCCGAAAGCCTAAGAACCATCAAACAAATACACACCTGGTATCAAGCGCAAAAGACACGTGTATATTCCCCATGGAAAACAAAGAAAGACACACTCCATCCATATGCATGAAAACCAGTATTGACAAGGAAAGTAAGAAACACAACAGCGTGATTACAAAGTGAAAAATTGTATGTGGGCAAAGTGGAAGTGGTATCGCAGAAGCCTTCTTGAAATACCGCCCGTGTAAATCCCATGAACGAACGCCACGCTTGCTCGCAATAAAAAAGCGCAAAATGGATGGTGAATACCGCGTGAAGTGCGCGGCAGCGGCGTGTTGTGAGTTGCTGTGCTGCGCTTGCCGTTTCGGTCCATGTCCCTCTCTTCTCTTTCCTTACTCGTGGCCTAGTACCTCAGCTTACCCAGTAAACTGAAGCAGTAAGCACACTCCCTCTCACTCTTCATTTGCACCATGAAGACCCTCGCTCTTGCGCCCAAGACACCACCCGTCTTGCCGACGCCGCCGACCTGACCGTCTTCGTTCAAGTGGTCTTCCCATACGCTGACAGCGATACCACTGCGTGCGACGCGCTCGAAGCACGTCTCGGACAAAGTGACGTCAAGTAGTATCTCGCCGTGTTTCTTGCCTGTAAGGAGAATGCGTCGCTCCTGGGTATGATCCCTGGTACCAGGTGCGCGCTGTCGAGGGTTCGTAGGCGAGGATGGCACGCTTGGGTTGGGTGAGGGCAGCATTATTGTTAAGCGTGCGCTGCCCATGTCGCGCCATTTCTTGAGTGACTCTCGCTCATAAAGCCTGCACTTGGTGTTCGTAATTCCAGCTGGTGCACCGGGCGCGCGTACTATATCGCCGGTAGGTGTAGATGCGCCTGAGCCACGTGGGGAGTTGGAGCCGCTGTCGAATGAGGAGCCAGTGCTGCGAGATCCGAGTGTTGAGTTGCGGATGCTGAAGACGCCGCTCTTTCCGAATGAAAATCGGCCTAGTGCAGAGCGGAGAGCA